CCCCTGGGTGACCCAAGTGCCACACTGGGGCATTCCTAGAGAGGCTGTGGCTGGGGCCACAGCTGGGAGCTACTCTCCTACCACACAGCAGCTCACATGCTCCTGTGCCCACAGGCCCTGTCTGCGCTGGTGTCGTCGGTCTGAAGATGCCCCGGTATTGCCTGTTTGGAGACACAGTGAACACGGCCTCACGCATGGAGTCCAACGGCCAGGGTAAGTGCTGAGGCCAGGACCAGCCATGGGGCTCATAGTGGCGGGTTGCACCCTGCTCCCACGCACCAGTGACACCTCTTTTCCGTCTGTGTGTGCCCCAGCCCTGAAGATCCACATCTCGTCCACCACCAAGGAAGTCCTGGATGAGTTTGGCTGCTTTGAGCTGGAGCTGCGTGGGGATGTGGAGATGAAGGTGAGGCCAGGACAAGGTGGGGGGCAGGGAAGGCACCCACTGGTGCAGGTGAGGCCAGGACAAGGTGGGGGGCAGGGAAGGCACCCACTGGTGCAGCTGGGTGGTGCAGTTGGGAACTGGGAGCTCTGGCAGATGTGCCGGGTCACATCCAAGAGGGCAGTGGTGGCACCAGAGCCCCCAGGGTGAGTGTTGGACAAGGTCCGCGCTGCAGCCAGGCCGCAGGCTCAGGAGAGTCTGACTCTGGGGCTGGCTCAGTCACAGCGCTGAGTGCTCCCCTCCACCCCCAGGGCAAGGGGAAGATGCGGACGTACTGGCTGCTGGGACAGGATATTTCTATGGTATACATCTTGGAGTTGAATTCCACATACTTCTGCCTTCCTTCTCAACATCCAAAGGAAAAGGAATGCGCCCCGGGGGCCATGCCATGCACAGGGGGCCACCTGGCACCCACGTCTCCTGGCTCTGGCATCCTGGAGCAAGGAGGCAGCGCCTGTCCCTTCCCCCACAGGCACCAGCAAAGCCCCCCTCCCTCGGGGAGGGGAGGATCCGTCCCAGTCCCCATCCCCACTCCCTGTCCTCCAGCCCTCGCGCCCTCTCCCCTCCCAGCTCAGCTGGCTCTGAGCCCCGCTCCCTGGGGCCTGGCTGCCCCCTCCCCAGGCATTTTGCCTCCTCCCTCCTCCGGCCCTGGCAGCCCCTGACGCCCCTCCCCAGAGGTGAAGACAGGGCTCCACCAGGACTGGCCCCTCAGGCGGAGCCAGTCAAGCGCCCTGCTCCCTGCCATGTCCCCTGCCCCTGTCACCTTCCTCCCGCTCCCCTGTATATAGTCCCCCCAACGCCAGGTTGTGTAAATACCCCCCTCCATGCAGGTGTAAATATAGCAGTCAGATAGTGCAAACTATTTTGTTGAAATACAGATTTCCCCACAGCCCGCTGCCTCTGCTTTGTGCTTCACGCCACTGCTGGGGCTGCAGAACAGGGAGGGCTGGAGCCAACCCGAGCACGCGCTGGGGCCGGCGAGCAGGCTGGGGCCAGAGGCTCTCAGCAGGGCCGGGGGCCGGCACGGGGCACGTGTGGAGAGCTGCCCTGTGGAGGCCACGGCGTGTGCTGGAGAGAGTTCAGGGCAGTTCTGGGAAGGCCTCGCCGCCGCAGGGTTTGCTTTGGCCTGCGGGCTGCAGTGCATTCCTCTGAGCTCATGCTCTGGCTGCGCTGCTGCCGCTTACTGGAACCCACCTGTGCCCGGGGAGCGGCGCTGCCCGGGGCCCCCCGTCCAGCCCTGGGGACTACGCATTACCTGGGCACTAGGAGAGGACACGTTCCTTGGGATACAGGTCAGGCCAGGGCTTGTCCTCCTGTCAGCGAGTGCCCAAGAGTGGAAGGCCAAGGAGGGAGCACCAGACGATGCAGGGCTGAGGGGTGTGCAGTGGGGCCATGCTGTGGGCAGTGATGCGCCCCCGGGGAGCTACGGGAAACGGGGTGCTCTGGATGTGGGGCACCCCTGTGCCAGCACCTGAGCTGGCCAGAGAAAGGTGCCTGTGGTGGTGGGGGCATGCAGGTAGGCCCAGGACAGAGCCAGGCCTTGTCTTGCAGCAGCACAAGGACGCTGCCATCTCCGGATCGTTATTACTCGGCCAGACCGGCAGTGGGGGTAGCTCTGGTGAAGGTCAGGGCAGGGGCTGGCCTAGCTGCTCCGTGACAGGCATAGAGAAGGTGGCGTTCCTCCTGAAGGGAGTGTCGGTGGTGCAGATGCTGGTGACCCCCTGGGGGGGCAGGGGGCGGGG